AGCGGGCAGGTTAGTCAAAGCGGACAATATCATTGCTACGGGGTTCTGGGGGCGTTACAGGTAGTTTGTCTACTTCTGTCTTGTCCAGTCTTAGTCGTACCAAACACCATACATACTTCTGTTATGTCCAGTCCTACCCTCTTATCATGTCCTGCCCTGTCCAGTTCTGTCTCGTCCAGTCCTGTCTAATTATGTCTGCATACCAAACGCTACCTATAAGAACTATCATTGTGAAGTTTATATAAGTTCCTAATTTGGTGAGGTGGAAATGATGTGACAAAAAAAAAAGTACAAGAAGTGGGTTACTATAGAAAGTGACTAATTGAGTAAGCTTTCGGGAGAAGGTTTTACGTAAAAAGTCAAGTTTTTTCTCTGGACCCGTTCATCCGAACTAAAAAACATGTTCCTTTTATTTATGAAAAATCATCTCAAACAAAAACATTCTCAACTTATAAAAACATATTAATCCATACAAATAGATCCGGCAAACGTGTCGTGTCGAGTTCGTATCGGGTTCAAACAGGTAGAGAGTGCCTAACCGAATACGACACGTTTACTAAACGGGCCAAAAAATCTCAACCAGAAAACGACCTGATTTAACCCAATTAACCCGACACGACACGATTACCCCGTTTATCCTCTTAAACCTGGTAACCTGTTAAACCCGCTTAACTTGTTTAACATTTATAAAATTAAAACTTAAAAATCGAAAAACGAAAGCATTAGAAATCCATATCCAAAGCGTTAAAACTCCAAGCATTAAAAATCCGAAGCATAAAAATATTACAACCCCAAAAATCGTTTAAGTTCTAAGTTCTAACGAAATCCAAAACATAGCTCCTCTTTGTCCGGATTGTTGAGTTTGAAGACATTGATTCTTTGATTCTTCACGGTCATCTTCATCCTTTAATCTTAAAAGCCAATTGCATAGCTCCTCTTCATTCGGATGCATTGATGCTAAAATTGAGTACAAGAAATGTTAAAAATTAAGTTAAAATTTAAAATTAAATGTTTACCAGGTAAACTTTACTTTCATTGAAAGCCCAGTCTCTAAGACAAACCAATGATTCAACGGTTTTCGGTTTCAACGAGCTCCGATAGGCATCAATAACTCGTCCTCCAATACTGAAAATCGATTCAGAAGCAACGGGGGGATGGCCAAAATATCTCTAGCATTTGAGACACAATTAATGGGATACCACCCTTGAAGGGGTTTCCAATACTCCAACAAATCGAAATCATTTATGCGAGTTAATTTTGGTTTTCAGTGATAACAAGATCGTCTACACAAGTGTGAAGTCAACGCAAGATTCAACGAACATTGATGAGACCTTCAGCGTCATTCCAGTGTTCAACGATCAGATGAATCTTGTCGAGCAAGATTGTTTTTATTTTGTCCGTCTACACACAAAGAACAAACCCATATGTTTCTAAGTATAGTACAGTACGGAGCCACTTCAAGGCGATCGATCAGATGCAAAAGTGGGCTCATGGCCCATGGTAAACAAAAAGAAGCCCAATTGTAATTAGGGCCGTCCCTGGGGAGGGCAGCACGGGCTATCAGCGGCCCGAATTTTTCCCTTAAAATACAATAGTAGTCTAAAATAATTTAATAAATTAAAGAAACCCAAAAAAATGTAGCATATAATAAAAAGCAAAAAGAATTTAGTAGATAAGAAGGGCCCAAAAATACATCAACTAATTACATTTGAGAAGAAAATAAAACAAATTAATTGGTCATTCATTATATGCTATTGTCTATTGCATCTCTATTTTTTTATTTCCAACAAGGTTATTATCTCTATATGCTTGATTGTTTTCGTGCTTCAACAATTGAACGTTAAGATCATGTGTTTGCTATTGCTATATACTTTTGTTGGATATTTTTATCAATTTCAGCTTCTATTGACTATTGCTATTTGGTTATGTTGTTCTAGTTGTTTTTTGTGACTATTATTATTATCTATTTTTGCTTCTACATAAAATATTTTACTATTGTTTGACAATCAATATAGTGTTCTTATAATTTATGACGTGTTTCATGGTCTTGTGATTAATCAATAAATTTTTTCCACTAGATGTATTTAGTAATGTCTATTTATATATGTCATGTTCCATAAGCTTTTAATCTTAACATCTTATTTTAGTTGAACAAGAAAAGAAAGAAAATAAAATTTAAATATTTTTATCAATTGTTTGACTTATTTATCTTTCATTGGGATTCCACCACACCACAAGATTTTATTTAAGTGTTCAAACAATCATTTATTGAGTTTGCATATCATATGTTTAATTCATTATTTATTCTTATTGGATCTCAATGGATCATCTTTTCTTTCATATTCTTATTGATCTTCATTTGTCTACTTGTCCAGAAAACCTTGATAATCTTCTTTATTATTGATTTCTCATTGACCCTTACGATTACTTCATTCACACGAATTCTCTTTTTATATATCAAAATAACACATATTTCTTGTTATGAACTAAAAAAATTCTTATTTTCTACAAATTTATCAACCATAATTTTTATACTCTTGGTTTCAAATTAATACGTAAATTTAATTATTCTCTTATATATCTATAATAAAGATAAATAAAAGTTCTTTACTCAGTAAATTATTAGCATTTCTTGTACTCAATTTTATACTAATGAAAAACATTTATTGAAATTTTTTTCCGTACTTATCGAGGGTCACTACAAGAAAAGTGAGCTCTGACGATGCACCTTTTAGCGATGACATATTTACGCCACAAGTTATAACAACGACATGTTGTTATATACTTTTTTCTGATGATAACTGGAATTTTAGCGACGACAAAAGTCGTTGCTAAAAGTCTTGTTTCTTGCAGTGGACCATGTTTTTACGTCTGTCCAAGGCCTATAAAATGTCAGGAACGGGTCTAATTGTAATTAAATTACAAGTCCAAATGTTTAAGTGGAAACCCAACAAAAATCTTCAAAATTGCTCAAAAAACAAGTCCAAAAGATGAGTCCAAGTCCAAGGTCCAACAAAAGTCTTCAAAATTTTGGCCCAAAAAAAGAGTCCAAATTCAACAGCTATTCCTGTAGCAACATGCAGGAACAAGAGATAATACGTCTGCAATGAATGGACGTCAGTTGAATTTTCATCGTCGTATTTTTGTATATGTTCAAATTCTCAAAAAAGAGTCCAAAATTCTCATCGTCATATTTTTGTATATGTTCTACTTGCGACAAAGACATTTGAAAAGGAAAAGAGATAATACGTCTGCAACGACTGGACGTCAATTGAATTTTTGAATGTGTTAAAAATAGATGATAGTTTACAAATGTTTTAAATGATTGGATATTTCAGTGGAATTTAATTGAAATGAATTGATTCAGATTTCATACTTCAGACGTTTGTCAGTTTACAAAAACAAACACTCTGACTGATTCAAATTTCAGACTTCAGCATCACCCCCTTAAAAATCAGAAGTGAAATAGACTTCAGCACATTTTAAAAAAACAAACGCCACCTAAGTGTTCTTCATGAAGAAACATATAATTTTTTAGTCAGATTAATGGCATAGAGTTGTTCTTTGCAAAACTAAAGAAGCTTCAAAATCATTCGCATCCCGCTGCTTTGTGCAAATGCACAACTAATATATAATCCTATATGTGGTATAAAGATTTTCCATCAAAAAATATAGTATCATAAGAGCATATCCAATGGTTTATATACAATTGCTCCAAAATGGACAGAAAAAATCAAATTCTCAAAAATAAAACGTCCAACTTTAACATCAGTCCTATAATAAAATATTCAATAATATATATATATATATATATATATATATATATAGGGACCTAATCAAATGAGAACTAATTAGTTTGTGGTAACTGTGAGAACCAATATTAACCACAAATCAATAGATAAATTAGGAAATTTATAATTTTGGCAATTTTGAATTAAAATATTAATGCAAGGATATTTTGGTATTTTAAAACTTTCCTCCCTCATCTCTTCTCTCTCCGGCCACCGTCCTCCGGCCACCATCCTCCGGCCACCGTCCTCCAGTGATACCACAATGGTATCACAATGCATCATATATGTGTTTGGGTATCACATTGATGTCGTTTGTGTGG